GCACAAACTGCCTCTGTTCCCACATAGTAAATCTTCTACATGTCTTGAAAAATCCGAAAGAGTTTATGCCCTATTGGATAAGTATTGAAGGAAGTATGAGGCGCGCAATTTGAAAATTTGAAAAAATGAAAATTTGAACGGAATGAACTTATTTATTAATATTTAGTTGGTCCTACTTTTCTATTAATAATCTCTTGAGTTCTTTCCGGAATGTTATCTACATGTCCTTGGCAAAGATCTTTATGGAAGTCATTTCATATTTCATCAACTCGTTCCCAAAACACATCCATGTTCTTTGCTCTATATTCGTAATAGTTGAATTTCAACTTCAATTGATGTCCTACGTGCTCGATTGAATTTAAGTCGGGGATCTAAGCTGGCCAATAGTTAACATAGCTCTCTTGGTGACTACATAACTAGGCTATTGTAGATTATGCCTTGTGCTTTGTGTTATTATCATGCTAAAACTAAATGTTGGACCAGTCGAAATTGTAGTACTTCATACTATCACGAAGCGTAGTGTTCAAAATATGCTAGTAAACACCCGAGTACAAATTTCCATCGTGAATTTAGCAAGCATATCCTGGTCCTTCAGAGATTATACAACCCCAGGGCATCATTTTGCTAGCTCCGTGATTGATTGCAAAATCCAGGTCATGATGTTGAAGAAGGTCACTTGGCCGTTTCCAATAGTGATCAGCATCATCAAAGCCCTATACGCTGAGCTTGGTCTCATTAAAGTACACTGTTTGCTGTCAGTCACTCATTGCCTAATCCTGATGCTCCTTGACCCGTTCTAACTGATGCTACGTATGCGTTTTTGTCTGAAATGGCTTCTTTTTTTCTATCAGAAAATGGAACTCCATTGATTTCAGTACGTTAATTTCTGACTGGTATGAGATATCATAGCCAAATCCAACCAGCTCCCGGTACACCTCTTTAGAAGCCTTTAGAACCCATTCCATGACTTTTCTTTTGATTAACCGCTTCGTCACTTTGGAGACTACTGCAGGTCTACCACCTGTGTTTACTGTCCTACTTGAAAACAGCCGTCTAGAGTATCTACTAACAGTTGATTAATGTAATCCAGGCTCCTTGGAAAGATCATACATTGATGTGGATGCGGTTAATGCCTGTTTGTGATCGTTTATTTTCTCCTCTGACAGCCGTTTAGGCATGCGATTGATGATAGGGTAAAAAAGAGAAATAATTTAAATAAGGGAATATAAAATTTAAAATAAAGGAATTGTAAGCGCTTTTATATACTGGCATCATTCTAATCATGTCAAGAATGTGAAAAATTATGATAGCAACCGGTTGGGTCGTATTAAAATTCGTCATTTAAAACATACAGTGGCTACCAAAACCGTTCGCACAAAACGTATTTTTTCCTTTCTGAATCTTTTGTGACCTATTGCGCATAAAAGATACCATATCTAATACATATTTCCTAAGAGTACAAACTCTTGGCTTTCTGATGAAGTATAAAATGTCACCCTATGCGCACCCTAACTCGTACTACGGAGAATCAAAACTCAAAGGCACATTCGAACGGTTTTGGGGCCACATATTTTAAAAGCGAAATGAATTAAAATAAGTTTATTTAATATCCAATATACAAGCCATCAGCCTCAATAACTGCACGACATCGATCGGGCATACTTTTAATAAACCTTTGGCATTCTTCAGCCGTGATTTGGTACCAAGTGTGTCCTATACGATCCCATAGCTCATGTATACCACATGGAGGGCAGTCATAATTTTTAAACAGCCGTCTTTTAAGTAATTGCCACATGTTTTCAATTGGGTTCAAGTCCGGTGATTGTGGTGGCCATTTCATTACATAAAACTCTTGCTCATTTAGCCATTTTGATACGACTTTAACTGTATGTTTGGGGTCGTTGTCCTGCATAAAGATAAATTTACTCGTAGATTTTCCACTTTCTTCCATATACCAGGCCAAAGACTTCATCAAGTCATCTTGTAAAACCTCCAAATAAACGTCCTTTGTCATGTTCTTGCCCACATCCACAATATAGCCTGGACCGTACCAGCTAATGCAGCTCCATACCATTATAGAGCCTCCTCCATGCTTCACTGTCTCACAAACCTGGTGCTTTTTTAACGGTTGGCCTGGCACTTTCCATGCATAAGACTTCCCGTCGGACCCAAAACGGTTGACTTTAGTTTCGTCAGACCATGTGACGTTCATCCAATCGTTTACTGTCCAGTCAATGTGCTGACGAGCCCATTGGAGCCTCTTCTTTCTATTTCTTTCATTAATTAAAGGTTTCTTTGGCCTGACAAATGAGACCAAACCAGCATCTCTTAACGCTCTACGTACAGTATTTACAGAAACTGACTTGCCCAAGTTCTGCTCTAACGACTGCTGTGCTTGTACAGCATTTTCGAGACCATCTACTGTTACAGCACGAACGAGATGCTGCTGTTCCCGCTTAGTGAGCGCTTTTGGCCTACCACCTTTGTCAATTCGAGCAGGCAAGCCTAACTCCAAACGAATTTTATGAACAGTAGAGGATGATACTTTGACTAACTTTGCAATTTTATGATAAGAAAAACCTTGACGAAGGTAAAACTCGATAGTGTTCTTGCGATCTTCTGTTAATGGTTGCATGTTGGGTAATTACTTGGTAGATGTCGAGATGTCGAAATGAGAATGTGCGAATGACAAAGAAAAAAAGGCAAAAAAATAATGCGCAGTGGTGAATTAGTAAGCAGCGAAAGTTCTGGAAGAATTTGAGGGTGCAGTGACTGCGTTTATCGCAATCGAAGAATTCCTCAAGCGTGGCCCCAAAACCGTTCGAATGTGCCTTTGAGTTTTGATTCTCCGTAGTACGAGTTAGGGTGCGCATAGGGTGACATTTTATACTTCATCAGAAAGCCAAGAGTTTGTACTCTTAGGAAATATGTATTAGATATGGTGTCTTTTATGCGCAATAGGTCACAAAAGATTCAGAAAGGAAAAAATACGTTTTGTGCGAACGGTTTTGGTAGCCACTGTATGTGAACAAGTAAAAAAATGTCGAATGTTCATAATACTACCTTTAGCGATCTTAAATTCCACCAATAACCATTACCCATATCCGATAATCGACGAATAAATGCACTTTCTATTGAGGTACAAACAGTCAAGGTTTGAGATAGTTTGGTGCAGTACCCATGGACAACCAGCTGTAAAACCTGAATTTTGCAATTCCTTGCAGCAGTTTTGTGACCTACTGTAACTTGTTAGCACTTGGGACTTGGCTTGTGTTAAAGTGATGTGTATTTGCTTAAATTGAGGTTTGAAGTCTTGAATGACTTGAGTTTAGGTAACTTGATTGAACGTTTAACAGTTCTTTAGAGTAGTGACCACCAGATCTTTTTAGATCAATAAGGTTAAGAATAAGATTGTTTGATAAACGATAAAAATAAAAGGGATCTTTCTTGATTTGTGATAACTCGGGTATCAGATCAGAAAGAATAAGTAAAAATAAAAAGAAAAGAAAAGGTTATTGTGACCCAATAAGAAAAGATTGCTTTTTAAGCGTAAGAAGATTTGATTTCTTGAATTTATAGAATTTATTGGATATCGAATATTTGTTAAAAATAATCATCTTATTTATATAAAAATATGGGGCGCCTTTTGTCCCTTGTCATGAACTGTAAATTACAGTTCATGTTCTTCATCCAAACTGTAATTATACTGTGAGATTGGAGTTTGTAAGGTTTTTAGAGTGTTAAATAGGTTTGTATTGAATGAGTCTTGATATAAGATCAAAGGTTTATGTAGGATTGGATTCCAAAAAGAGTAATGATTTGAGTGTGAGTTTCTTGCGTTAAGTGACCACCAGATCTTTTGAAGTAGATCAAACTATTTTGAGTAAAGTAAAATAAAAAGATAATATAATAGGGATTACAATGAAGTGTATATGCTTCAAGGGACTTCTTGTTCTTGATGTTAAGTAAAATAAAAGAAATTTACTTTGAATGATATTTATTTGAAATAATCAAAAAGTAATATGAAGTAAGTAGAAACAAGGTTATGTAGAAACAAAAGTAAGTAAGAACAAAAGTAAGTAGGTAAAGTATAAGAAATATTGAAGTTATTTATATGTTTTTGGTTTTTCTGATTATATGCTGTTTTTGATGATTTTATGGATATTCTATATTTTTTTTGTATTTTTCTGGATTTATCTGTATTCATACGTATTTGTTTGTATGTTCCTGGATTTAAACTAATTGGAGAGAGAAAAGTCGAATGCTGCCAAAGTTTGCTGCATTGTGTTACATTATATATTGTAACTTTAACGTTTTTGTTGTAATGGCCTTAAGAGTTTAGAAGTAAATTCGACTTTTCTTTAGAGGGTAAAAGAATTTGAGATCAAAGATTTGTGTTTAAATGAATAAATTTGGTTTGCTTGTAGTAAGTGACCACCAGATCTTGTATTGTAGATCAAACAGTAAAAAGTAATAAAGAGTTTTCTTGATAAGAGAATATAAAAGTGATACGATGAAGATAATTTGACTTCAAAGGACTTGACTTGCTTGAGTTATAAAATAAAAATAAAGAGTTTTAATAAAGAGGAACTCGATGTTTATTTGAATAAAAGGTATTTTTAAAAGTGAAGTTCAGTCAAATTATAAGAGGGGATATTTATATGATTATTATTTTTTTGTGTTTTTCTATTTTTTTTTTTTTTTTTTGTTTATCTTTAGGGACTGAGGTCCCTCCTTCGACTGAGTCCTTTCTTCAGCAAAAGTTACACCAACTGCGTCACAATATTTTTTTTGGTTTTTCTGATTATGTATTGTTTTTGGTGATGCTTTGATAAAAGTTTTTGTATGAATTCATAGAGTAAAAAGTGTGAAAATGACCGCCATTGAGGCTGACACAAGTTATAAGGCAACATTACGTTGCAGGGCTTCTCCGGGAATCGAACCCGGGACCTCTCGCACCCTAAGCGAGAATTATACCACTAAACCAAGAAGCCGGGGATGTGGATGTAGCTCAGTCGGTAGGGCGTCTGACTATTATTGTGGTGGTCGCAAGTTCGACCCCTGGTAGGATCTTCGGATCTATCCCTTCCCTGCCCCCCTACGTGTACTGTTTGCCGAGTGCTCCAACCACTTTTGTTTCTCCGCCTGTGTGTTGCGTTGCGTAGCAGCTGAGCATCTGTCTACTTGCCTTCCGTTTCGGGGGACCTAGGTGTGCGCTCTTGATGATGTTACTGGTTTTAACGCCGCTGCTGTTCTGGTTGGTTGGTCTGCGTTGGATGCTTGTTGAGCGTTGTTGGTCCGCGGTGCCGGGATGCCCAGCCCGGGCTTAATGAAGCGCGTTTCTGTTCCTGCCTCAAGTCTTCGTCTCTGGTGCCAGCTCCCCCCAATATTAATTCGTTCCTTCTTTCTCCCTTTCCCTCCCCCCATAATAGTTTGTATGCTTTCCAGTTCATCGCTGTGGATAGCAATTAATGGCATATTTGCCGCCTGCATATATCCAATAAAATATAAAATCTTTAACCTAAACCAAGAAGCCACTTTTCTTTCGCTTTTGGTTAAAAAGTTAAATTAGGTTCCTTTTTGGAAAGCCGATATCTCTGTCAAATCAAGCCATCCATCAACAATTTCTACATTAATCGACGCGTTTTTATCAATACTTTTATTTGGTTCAATTCTTATTGTCATATCTTCAATATCTATCGCTTAATCTTTGGTCAAAGTTTGCATCCAAATGTCTTCATCAAGAAATACACGAGGATCTAAAAACCTGAATGCCGCCGCCGGACCCAATTCGCCGGACCTGGAATTAACAGTCCAACGACTCAGTGACTCGCTTTCTGAACTGACTGGTCGCCTTACTGCCTTGGAACAGCTTGAGCTGGAACTGGAAACTCTTCGAGGTGAGAACGCTCGCCTCACTGAAACAACCCAATCTCAGGCCAATGAGATCGCTTCTCTGCGTGCACAGCTTGCCGCGCAAACTTCCGGGGTCCCTAAGAACACCCCACGTCCAAATACCGCCGATTCTTCTGCTGCTGTTCCTATTGATGCTATTGAGCCCGTTTCTTCGCCCTCCTTGGGTACTGCTGCCTCTTCTTGGGCTACCGTTACTTCACGTGGCTCAAAGAACAAACTCCGCCGTCGTGCCGCTGCTGCTCGTGGTTTCCAGCCTGTAACTGGTGATCAAAGTTTTGAGTATGTCTACATACCTCGTTCCCGCAAAATGACATACACCGAAGCTCGTCGTCGTCTTGGTCGTTTGGGTGTTGACACCTGGCGGGTGTTAGATGTTTGTTTCCCCGCTCACTCCGTTGTTGGTCTGCTGGTACATTTGCAGTACAAGCCTGCTCTTCTGTCTTTGCTTGAAAAAGCAAAGGTCCCTGTTGTCGTATTTTCCTTATTAAATACTCAAATGTCGTGTGAGATTACTCAAGATCTCCATGTCATATAATTTAAAACTACCTCTATATAACACGTAGTGTTATATAGCCATCAGTACTCATAAACAACTTTAGTAATTTACATTGCGCAACTTCGGTTCTTCAATTATTAATTTTATAAAATCAGACGTAGTTTGTATTTAATGAGCTCTCTCTCCTGTCTTCACTCAATAAAGAGGTTCAAGAGTCTCATCGATTATCAGTTTCCTGTTTACACTTTATTTTTACTTTTAATCGACTACAAACTACTCACCCAATATCACACCTGTCCTTGATCAGTTCGACCCTTTGGATCCTGACAACGTTGCCGACCCTGCTTTCTCTTCCGCGTCTCTTGAGGTACGTCAAGAAAAGATGGCGCACATCTCTAACGAGCGCTGTCTTCGTACCTTGGAGCGCCTTCGCTATCCTGTTGCTGTTGCTGTCTCGCGATTCTTTTTGGCCAATGCCATGGTATCTGACGAAGCTGTCTCCGATGTCTTGGCATCCAAGCAAGACCATCCTGCCTTCGCTCGTCATCGTGACCAACCTGACGATGACATGCTGCTTGATGATTACGATCATCACCGTCCTGCCTCTCGCTCCTGCTATGGATCCTTATAATGATGAGTAGTAATACTTGTCATTATAATATACCCTCGGTCTCACCATCTGGTATGGTCCCAGATCCGTCAACCCCTTCCTCTCCTTTGGTTTCTCCTGGTACTTATGGCTCCCATGGTCCATCAATTACTCCATCCTCCTCATCATCTTCTTTTATACCGCTCACTATCGGCTTGTGGAATGCCAATGGGCTTCAAGAATCCACAGCCGATGATCTACTTCGTCACTGCCAGTCGTTTTCCTTGGTCTTCATCACCGAAACCTGGTTGCTCCCGCCCCACAGGATCCGTACCTCTTGGACCCAGTTCAACCTGTATGGCTCTCCTGTGGTCAACAGCTATCGTGGCTCTCAAGGTGTCTCTGCTCTGGTCTCTCCTTCCTGTCCGATGGCTGTGGTACAGTTCCCGGTTCATACCAAGTATGCTCTGGGTCTGCGGTTGGGTCGCTCCTTGCGTCTCATCTGCCTGTATTTGCCCCCTTCCTTGTCCAACGACGAGGTCTCTTCTGTGTTGGTTTCGTTGCCCTTGACAGACGATACGATCATTTGTGGTGATCTGAACGCGCGTCTTGGTGCAGTCACGGGTGATTCCGTGGCCAATGCTCGAGGTTCGGTACTGCTTCGCTGGTGTGAAGAACATGGTCTATCCATTCTGAACTCGACTCTCGCTCCTGGGGTGCCTACGTTCTTGTCCTATCGTGGTGGTCAAGTCAAGCAAAGTATGATCGACTACTTCTTGACCAACACGACCTCTGCTCTCCGGTCCCCTCGGATGCAAGTCTACAGCGATCTCTCTCTTGGCTCTGGCCACAAACTGTTGTCGTTGTCCTTTGACTATGCAGTCCCTGATGGTTATCCATCGCAGCCCGTTCTCTCCTCTTCTAGTGCCCGTCGGCTATGGAACCTCTCTCGGTTGAAGGAACCCGATGTCTGTAGTCTGTACATGGCCACATTTCAGTCCTTGGCCGCTCCATTGGTTGATCAACTCAAAGCTCTGAAGTCAAGTCCTCCTTCTGCTGCTCCGCCTATAGACGCTCTCAACGACTCTCTGAATGAAGCGTGTTTTAATCGTAAGATTAAATAAAAAAATTAAACAAAAAAACAATAGCAGCAATATAAAATTAAAATCCTTCTTTATTGCAGATTTCTTTATATTGCAAAAGAGCCCCGTTTAATGGATAAAAAGTTGGCATCTATTTATATTCTTTGTGAGCGTAGATATAAAAGATATAGACTCGGCAACGATGTCGTGCTGAAGAACCAATGATTAAGCTAAAGCTTGTCGATGTTCTAATATATGCATCTGAAGTTGAACAATAGAAATAATAACCAGTCAATTAACTTTGATCTAATTACTTTTGGGGTTGACAATTGATTAGACTCGCTAGGATGACAAATACTGATCTTATTGTTCTAAATTTGGAAAAGTGTGGAATTGTTCAATCATAGTTTAATCTTTGTGTATCGTTATTATTTTAATACAACTGATATCTTATAGAAAATAACTATGTTTACAACAAAGCGATCTATAGTGCACTCGACAAGTCGGTTGGCTCTCGCTCTTCTCGACCTTCCCAATGGAAGCCATTCTGGAATGCTCACTTGCAAGAACTCGTCGATATTCGTGAACATCACTACCGTAGGTGGCGTCGAGCCATTGGCATCGACAAGGCCTTGTGGTGGGATCGACATCAGGCCGCTCAAGTCCGGTTTCGCGCTGCTCTCAAGTCTGCCAAACGACTCTCTTGGCGTGCTTTCTGTGACTCTCTGGCCCGTGGCGAGCTTGCTCGTGCGATGTCGAAGGTAAAGGTGATTCGGAACCGACGACGTCAACAGGTTGGGTTTACCCATCCTGACGGCCCTGCTGCAGGTGCGAGCGCGATGCGCCAACACCTTGCCTCGGTCTACTCTGGTGACGGTCTTCCGTCAAGGCGCCCTGACCCTCTGCCTTCTGTCTCTGGTATGGTGCCTTTTGACCTCGATAGTCAAGACCGTGGTATGCCCTCGTTCACTTCTGACAGTGTGGGTTCACTGATGCGACGTCTCCCTCTGCGTAAAGCTCCTGGTCCTGACCACTTGCGTACAGAGATGCTCCTCCCCATCAAGTCTGTTCTAGCCCCACTGCTCTCCTTGCTTTTCAGTATCTGCTACCAGTGGTCTTATACCCCTTCTCTCTGGCGTCAAGCACAGGTGGTCCCCATCCACAAAAAGGGTGATCCTACCTCGCCAGGGAACTATCGTCCAATCTCCTTGACCTCCATCGTCCGCAAGCTCTTTGAGATGTGCCTCTTTCCCTCTGTTGAAGAAGTCTCTCCTCCGCTCGATGTAGCTCAAGGTGGTTTCCGTCACCAGCGTAGTGCATTGGATCAAGCCCTCTGTCTCCATGATCTGATGCACTCTTACCGACGCCGACACAATCATTATCCTGTGGTCGCTTTCCTGGACATCAAGTCAGCCTATGATACAGTCTATCGTCGTATCATATGGCAATCGATGCTCGCCTCTTCTGCTCCTCTGTCCTTGGTGTCCTTGTTGGCCAACATGTTTGATGATGTCTCGGTGTCTATGTTGTTGCAGAACAATGTCTCTGATCCGTTTGTGCCGAGTACAGGTGTCCTTCAGGGCTCTGTCTTGAGTCCTCACCTGTACTCGATCTATGTCAACACATTGCCGGCTTTGCTTCGTTCTGCTGCTTCTGCAACAACCACCTCGGTGTTCTCGGTGTCTCCTTCTGGTCCTCCTGGTCCTGGTGCTGTAGTCTCCGATGGTCTTCCCTTTGGTCCTTTGGTTGGTGCTGCTGCTTTGTCTTCCTCGTCTCCGTCGCCCACGCCCATCAACAGTCTGTTGTATGCGGATGATGTGGCGCTGGTTGGGTCTGCTCGCGAAGTTCGGCATATGCTGGATCTAGCACAGACCCATTCTCTGACTCTTGGTTACAAGTGGAGTCCTCCAAAGTGTGCCGTTCTCAATGCACCTGCTGCTTCGTCAAGTCGATATGTCCAAATGTCCTTGTATGATCAAGAGCTTCCCAGTGC